TTTGGTCTGTACAGCTGCACCTGAGGCATACATCTGAGGTCTGTGTGTCCTTACCTTACTAACATGTGGAAGGATCATCCTACAACCTCTGTTCCAATTCCCTTGGCATCGAAGGAAGAGTTTCTGATCCTGATCTAGATAAAAATCTGTGGCTTAGGCCACGCCTATATTCTTGTCTCACCTGGCTTGCTCATCCTATTCTGTCACCTCTCACCTTTGGCGTATGACTGGACTGGCCACACACACCACCATACATATCTCCACTGTTGTATTTTCACTGCTTCCCATAACCTGTTACATAAACAACATACCAGCCACTAATGCCTCCTGTGTTGCCAAGTTCATCATGGTTATGTTAAAATGGAGTAAAAATTAAATAAATGTTTTGTAATAAAGTCAAGAATCATCTGAAACTTGGCTGGCTATTGCAATAAATATGCCAAGAACAAAAACAAATTTATACATTTCTAGGAAATAAGAAACAGAGGAATATGTGGAACAGACATAAATATACCAAAAATAGGGTATAGTTTATGAAATATTACTTAACTGTCACTAAAGTTAAAATAATGGTGCTTAGGAGGAACATATATTTAAAGTTGTTCTCAGAAGAGAATTTTTTTAAAAATCTCAATACACATGCATATGCAGATATATTTTTAAATATGGCTGACAATATAATTCAAATAAAATCTATGATCACTAAACTTTGAAATATAATTCCCTATTACTTCAAATTTAGCCATTATTAAATGAGACTTGTTTATCCTTCTTTTAGATAAATAACATGTTATTTATCATTAATATCTAAAGTTATATTAGAAATTAGATATATTGTTTAAGAGTTAATGCAAGTAACTTTATAAAAGCACATGATTTTCATTTTTTTTTTTTTTTACCTTATTTACGAAACTCAGTATGTTTAATAACTTATTACATGTATAAAATGAACAAAAGAATACTATTGAAAAGAATAGGTTAGGCCCTACATGAAAAAATACAGAGAGGAAACTTTCGTTTTCCAGGAGTTTCCAGGGATTCTTGGTTCAAAATTAAATTAGAATCTCAACTCTAAAAACAGGGTTTATCTTAAAGCTTTGTTAAGTTATTGCTTTTATTTAAATATAGTTTTTTACAAAATCAAACACAAAATAATAAGCCCAAGCTTATCTGCTTAAATACTAAAAACCATTGTTAAGCATTCCAGTTGGGGCCATATCATCACTGAAGAATTATAGTTGGATGTAATATGCTTCTCCTCTTGAAAAGCTATGAAATACAAGCTATATATTTCCCTTATTTTAAAAAACAAAATAAAAATTAGAATCTTGTGAACCTTAGGTTACATTCAGTGCTCAACATGGATACATCCTGGTTTTTATGGTCAATATTCATTAAATATATCCTATATGCTTTCAAAAGAGTGATAAAGGTTTATTTTAGGCAAACCATTCATTTATTTCAAAGAATCACTCAAATTCCATAATTTTTAAAAAATATTGCTTATTTGCCTCATTTTTCAATTCATATTTTAATAATTTAAAATCCAATTATTATTGCCAAGATATTATAGGCAATTTTACATCCCATTACCCTTGCTTTGTTTTAATTATAAAGATCCTTTGTTAGATTCCTTTAAATGATCCAGTTTATAATTTCAGCCTGTCCGGGGGAGTACTTTAATTCAGCTGCACATTCATCAACTGTTTTGTCCTGTTAACTGTAGACAAGCACACAATTGCTTTCTCCAGCGATGATTGATGAATTGTATTTACAAGTGTAGCTGTTAAGTAGGATAAACATTTATAACAATGTCCACTTAAAGATTTTTACCTTTATTCCCACAAGGGCAAATTAAAGACTGATACTCTTAACAATGGAGAGAAAACGTGTGTGTGTGTGTTTTATTTCATTTTAAACCATTAGAAACAAGTGTAAAAAATGCTCTATGCCCATGCAAATGAAATACAAGTATGTGCAAAATACCTAGTGTGTGCTTGGATGCCGTCAACAAACACCATGCGTGTGCTGCACGCTCTAGCAGGTGCAGAGCTCCTCTCACGCCACATGACTCTATCCTGAGCTAGTTACATGCAGATGTAGACTCCTAGATGGGAATTCCCCTCCCAGCTCTCATTGCAGAGCCTGAGACCCACACACCCATATGCTCGTTCTACACCTCCACTCGGACATTTCACAGGGGCTGCAGATCCAGGGTACACAGAAGTGAAAACATCTCTCACCACCCCCAGCCCTGCTTCTCTGTCAGTGTTCTTCTAGCTAAGTGCACAGGACTAAAGACCATCCAGTTACTGAAGCCAGAAATCAAGTCCTACCCATTCCTTCTTCCCCTTTTGCCATCCAATCTTTCAGCAGTCCCACTGACTGAATTCCCAAAAGCTACTTCAGATCTGTCCACCTCTTCCACCCTCATGGCCACTACCAGTCCATAACACCATCATCTTCAACAGGATTACTGAAACCCTAGCTTGTCCCTGTTCCAGTCTAGAACCCCTAAGATCTATTTGCCATATTGCATACCTGATGATCTTTCTAAAATGCAAAGTTGATCATGTCACTCCTATGCCTACACCTATTCAATTATTCCCCAACATGCTTCACATAGACGACAAGACCCTTTGTAGCCTGGTCTTGCTAACGGGGGCCATGAAACCAAGACCCTTGCCTCCACAGGGCTGGCATACAATACGCACTTGAAGAGTCACTGGCTGAGTAAAAGAGCTCTCCAGCAACATGTCTCGCTACGTTTTCACTGCAGCCTGTGCACTACACTATGCCCTCTTCTCAGAACAGTATTCCTCTATTTGTTTTCCCCCACCTGGCCATCTCCTAATCATAGCTCGGTTCCAATCTAAGATGACATTCTCCTTGGATACACTTTCCTGATAACCCACCACCACCCCACCTGCCAGACTGGGTTAAGTGCCTTGCTGCATACTTACCTGAATACCTGCAGCCACCACCTCTATCACAGCACCCTTGTATTATTGGACCATGTGTGTCTCATTCACGTCTCTATTCCCAGCTGCAGTGAGAGTGTCTGGTATATACTGGGTGCTGACTAAGCATTTGCTGCATTCATGCACACGAGTTGTTCTTGTAGATTTCATAGCTATTCATGTTCCAATTTTTTCCCCCAAGATCATCTTTATTTAGAGGAATGATTGGTATGAAAGTGGAAACATAAATCCAGGATGGCACAAAGAGCATTTTGGAGGTTTTCATAAATTAAATTCTAAATATATATATATATAGCTATTTTCTATATTCCTAACTTCTTATCACAAACAAAACAAGCCCAAACAAGCCAAAACTTTACCACTGAATAACAAAACAGTATCAGAAGCTAAAGACCTTGTTATTAGCAAATTTTCCACCCCTCCTCTTTCTCAGCCAGGGACTTTTAATATTGCTTTACAATCTTATGATATATCATCTTAATTGAGTGCTGGAGGTTCAGTTCTATTAACTCTTAGGAGAGTTACTGGTGCTAAGACATTGTTTGCCTTCGCAGTTGACGTAAATTAGCAAGTTAGCGTATTTCTAAAACTGATACGACCACGAGCAACCTTACAGATATTCTTTCTCCATTCCATCTCCCGAAGATGGGTGACAGTGATTGCCAATTCCCATCACAGTGGAAGTTTGTAAGAGAGAGCGAGTGCTATTATGATGTGAAACTATTTGTGTCATAAAAGAAAACTGATTATTTTCCTGCATCTTTTGTTTTGCAGTGAAGACAAACGTTATTTTAAATTTCAGGCCTGTATTATTATGACTAAAAAATAATAATTAGGTCATGGATATCAAGATGAGAAATATACAATAAGATGAACTGTTATAAAGACCAAGATTACTTCCCAGAAAATACTACCATGACGGGAAAAACCCAGTAATACTAACCCACATTTAAGTCAATATTTTTTTAAAATTGGGGTTTTATAGCATTTATAAACTAATTTTAAGGACTATCTTGTAAAATATCCTCTTATGGCCCTCCTTGATGGAGCTGAGTTTTATATATACCCCGTGCTGGCGAGTCAATTGCGACTCATAACAACCCTATAGGACACAGTAGAACTGCCCCATAGAGTTTCCAAGGAGGGCCTGGTGGATTCGAACTGCCAACCTTTTGGTTAACAGTCATAGCTCTTAACCACTATGTCACCAGGGTTTCCAGTTTTATATATAGGTAACATTATTTCCTCATCAATTTAATTAAATCTGGTTGCAAATAAGAAATAAATGGATTATGCCAAATACTTAGTAATTATTTTCCAAAGAAGGCACTAACTACATCACAAAAGAAACTCAAGTGGTAGAGCATTCAGGTCTTTGGCCGACAGATGCCATGCATGTCAGCCAGGTGACAGCTACATCTGTCTTAGGGCAGCTACTGCCCATAAACCACTGGGAAAGTTACAGGAACAACCATTCATCACAAAGTGATAAAGAGAGTGATGTGCTCAGACACAGTTTTCCTGGAGGCGTTGGTTTAACCATGGTCTATACAAACTCTTTAGCAGGTTATACGTCTATATTTAACATCCTTCACGTGTTCAGTGGGACACCACAAAGCATGGTGTGTTCAGATCAAACTCCTTGCTGCGAGAGAGGACAGGCTGATGGAGTAAACAGTGAGTGCACCCTGGAAGCAGATGGAATGGCAGATGGGGCTGCAGATTGGGTTGGCCTGATCCGTGTAAAACAACTTTACTACTCGGTGAGATGCGTCTCAAAGCTCACAAAAACATTATAAAGTCTGTCTCTTTATTTAGTACATGCTTTTTTTTCCTGACAAAAAAATAAATGTTTAACATTTTAGACTTTGCTCATTTAAAGTTGAAGTACCTGTGTGACAAATCCTCTAACTGAAAGGTCTTTTCTTACACGTTTGGAGCAGATGGTAGGGAAGAGCAGACGCCCACTTGAATGAAATCTACACTGACCCGTTGTCCAAAAATTATCAGCTTAATTACCTTCCTTCATTGATGAGCTCGATAAACGCGAGTCCTGCGTTCTTCTGAATAGAGTTCTGCCATTCCTAGAGGGAGAGACCAGACCAGGGTGAGAAAAACGAGCATGCAGATGAAGGGACAGCGGGCTCAAGGGTCCTGTCGACGTTAACAACTTCCATGTGGTATTATCTCAAAATCCTTTTAGAAGAGTTTATAACAAATGTTATTTCCTTAGCAAAAAAATTAAGTAGCCCTTTATCATGTAGTTTAGAAGATGCCTTTGGATTCCCAGGAAATTTCGGGCTTGAAGCACACAGAGATGGGAAGTGAGGTCCCAGGTACTGTGAGTTCTAAGCACAAAGCTTCCTTCCAAAAGAGACCCAAGGTCTGGTCAAATGAGACTATACAGGAACTAGGAATATTTGGGGTAGAAAAGTTTAGTCCCTAAGCATCAGGATTTTTCACTGAGATTTTAAAATGAAAGTCAGGAATATAAACTATCTATTTAGATTGATTTGGAAATGAAATGTTCTGTTTTTTTTCTGTACATTCCAAATAACTGAAAGTTACACAGAAGAAATGTTACACATAAATTGTTTTTAGATTTGTAAGAAACAAACAAACAAACTTAATATGGAAACTACAGCCCAAGGTTACATACCTTGGTTAAAGATGTAGATTAGAATATGTTTAGCGAGTCTGGTAGTTCCATGGAGTCACCCTAACGGACGTAAGGGACTGTAATGTGGTGATGTAGATTAGGAAAGTATACAGCTTATTTTGTATTTTTCCTGTGGTGTATTTAGAATATGCTTTAACATTTCTTTTTCATTATTGGCTTATTCTAGTGATTTTAACTCTGGTTTTTTAATATAGCTGGTAGATAGCAGTTTTTTTTATTAAAAATTATAGCCCTTTCAATAGTTTTGTAAATAAACACTCTCCTGATACATCTTGAAAACCCCATTGGCCACGCATGTCACTCATCTGGAGACTTTTCCCGTGACCTTCCTAAGAGATAAAGTGCTGAGCCAAGTGCTGGACTCACAGAGGTGGTCAGTTGCCCTGCCCACAAATTCAGCTTCACAAAAACACAGTCTCCATGTGGACCCCTCACTATCCTCCTGCCTCACTCCCTTAGAAGGCTTTGCACACCTGCTGGGAATAACGCAGTCCTGAAAAGTCGGTACTTCGGTGTGAAGATACCCTCTGCTCTAAGTAACTGTGCGAAGACTCACAGAACAAACCATGAGTCTACACACACACACCCACCCAGGAGAGAGCGTTAACAACAAAGAAGAGGGGTAAGAGGGCCTGGGGACACTGATGACCTCCTAAAGGGCTAAATGACCTAATTGTTTAGCCGAGTCATCGGGTACCAGCTATCAGAAACTTTAACTAAAATTTATCCAAATGGCAATATTGCTATTCCATTTTATGGTGTTTATTTAAACTTTGAAATCCATTCTGTTGAAAACAATTACAGGGAACTCCTTTGCCTACATTTTAACAAAATTACTATTATCCTCTTAAATATTTTGTACATTCCCATTTTATATCCCAAATTTACCAAAAACCAAGATCCCTTAATATGTGCACATTTCTCAATATTTGACATTTACTGTCATATTAGATTAAGGAAAAAAAAATGGATTCTTATGTAATAGGAACCCTTGTACGACGAAGAAGGGATTCTTACAGACAACTTCCCAAACATGGTTTTCCTTATGATGCTGTTTGTACAGCAAGGTTCTTCTATCAGCATAAACTTCTCATGTGAATAGTATTTTCAATAATATATTTCACAAGGTACCTATTCAGGCATTATATATGCATCCCAAATTATACCACGCCTAAAAGATCACAGGGTTAAATTTTTTAAAACCCTCTTAAGAGAAAACCAAAAATACCTCTGGACTGGTTTCAGCCCATGAACTGCTCATCTGTGACCTCTGACAGGAGCAGAAGAGATGAGTCTAAGCCAAGTGCGCAGAGAGTAAAGGACGGGGGAGCCAATGGGTGTGTAGGAGCAAAAGACTTCATTCAAGAAATTAATGTGTTAGCTTTTCATGCCGGTAACACTCCCACAAATATGGTGAACGTTCCTAAAAGCTGTGGGACTTTCTGAAAGAAGTGTGGCAAAAGCACCAACTCCATAAAGTGACACAGGACCAGAAGAGCAAATGTTCTCTATATGCCACAGGAGAGAGGTGTTATGACGGGAAGCAGAGTGGATATGGTGGGCAGACTAAGCCAATTTTCCGGAAGAAAGCTAGAATTACAAAGAAGATTGTGTTGAGGCTTCAATGCGTTGAGCCCAACTGCAGATCTACGAGAATGCTGGCTATGAAGAGATGCAAGCATTTTGAACTGGGAGGAGACAAGAAGAAAAAGGGCCAAGAGATCCAGTTCTAAGTTTCATCATGTTTTATTATGAAGACAATAAAATTTTGAGGTAATGTTAAAAAATCCACCAATCCTGATGCCATGTTCTTTACATAGCACAGCTTCTTGAAATATTTGTTGAGCATACAGAGAGAATAAGTATGGTGAAAGGATACAACCCCGATACACACCTTTCCTATTTTAAACCATGCAGTATCCCCTTGTTCTGTTTGAACCACTGCCTCTTGGTGTATGTACAGGTTCCTCATGAGCACAATTAAGTGTTCTGGAATTCCCATTCTTCGCAATGTTATCCATAATTTGTTATGATCCACACAGTCGAATGCCTTTGATAGTCAATAAAACACAAGTAAACATCTTTCTGGTATTCTCTGCTTTCAGCCATGATCCATCTGACATCCGAAATGATATCACTGGTTCCATGTCCTCTTCTAAATCCAGCTTGAATTTCTGGCAATTCCCTGTCGATGTACTGCTGCAACCACCTTTGGAATTATCTTCAGCAAAATTTGACTTGTGTGTGATATTAATGATATTGTTTGATAACTTCCACATTCCGTTGGATCACCTTTCTTTGGAATGGTCACAAATATGGATCTCTTCCAGTCGGTTGGCCAGGTAGCTGTCTTCCAAATTTCCTGGCATAGACGAGTGAGCACTTTCAGCACTGCATCCATTTGTTGAAACATCTCGATTGATATTCTCTCAATTCTTGGAGGCTTGATTTTTGTCACTGCCTTCAGTACAGCTTGGACTTCTTCCTTCAATACCATCAGTTCCTTATCATGTGCTACCTCCTGAAATGGTTGAACATCAACCAATTCGTTTTGGTATAGTGACTCTGTGTATTCCTTCCTTCTGCTTTTGATGCTTCCTGCGTTGTTTAATATTTTCCCCATAGAATTTTTCAATATTGCAATTCAGGGTTTCAATTTTTTTCTTCAGTATTTTCAGATTGAGAAATGCTGGGCGTGTTCCTCCCTTTTGGTTTTCTAAGTCTAGGTCTTCGCATATTTCATTTTAATACTCTACTTTGTCTTTATGAGCTGCCCTTTGAAATCTTCAGTTCTTTTACTTCCTCATTTCTTCCATTTGCTTTAGCTACTCTACATTCAAGAGCAAATAGCAAGGCACCATTGTAGAATCCAGGAGAAAAAAGTAGTTTAAGAAAGAAAACGGTACATAGTTCAGCTATACATACTATTTACAAGGAATATTGATGTAATCCAAAATTGTGATATAACTATAGTGAGAAAATACTGAGAATTGTAGAGTTATTTTGTCCCCTTTTTAAGTAGAGGTTGATGGTAGTGGCACAAGAGTGGGATGTTAAAGACAATGTACAAAAGTGAAAAACCAAGAACACTGGTTCAACAATAATACTATCTAGAAAGTATACATTAGTAACAGAGGAATCAGGAGGGACCAGTCCCTTAGAAGGACATCATGCTTGGTAAAGTAGCAGGTCAGCAAAAAAGAGGAAGACCCTCACTGAAATGGACTGACACAGTGGCTGCAACAATGGGCTCAAGCATAACAACTATTGTGAGGATGGCACAGGGCCGGGCAATGTATTGCTCTGTTGTACAAAGGGTCGCTATGAGCTGGAACTGACTCGACAGCACCTAACAACAACAGAGGAAACAGCTAAACGATTTGAAAGTGGTTGCCTCAGTAGAGAGGGTCAAAGAGGCGAAGTAAGGGTCTGCTCTTTTTTTGTTGTTATAAGCTGTTAAAGCAAATATTTTATCATTTTTAACAAATAAACCTTACTTAGAACAGTGTTAGATTGACAAAATTATTGTGAAGATAGTACAGGGAGTTCCTGCATAACCTACATGCAGTTTCCCCTATTACTAACATCTTATGCTATGGTATAGTATAACAGTCACAATTAGTAAACCATTATTAACGGTATTATTAATTAAAGCCCAAATGTTTTCAGATGTCCTCAGTTTTATTTTTCTGTTTCAGGATGCCCTCCAGGAAACTACCTCACGCTTGATGTTCACGTCCCTGTCGGTTTCTGTTGGTTGCGCTAGTTTCTCAAACTTTGTTTTTGGTATCTTGACAGTGTTGAGGATTACAGGTTTGGACACTAATTTTTCATAGAAAAAGAAATTAGAACATCATAGAAGACAGCCACGCTGTGAAACAGAACGTCACAGAAGACGGCTATATTGTAAAACCCTCCAGCCCTTCTACGCCTCTCCTTTTCTAAAAGTAATGTGAAAATAATCTGTTCCTTTTTCAATATTACTCTACTTATGGAAGGGTGTGGAGAATTGGCAATCATTGAGGACGTTCATGGAAAGGCCGAATATGCTTTAAGGAAAAAACTGGCAGCACTGTGATGATGGAAAGAATAGATGGGTGAAAAGGTTGAAGGAATTGCTAGCAGTGGGACTGATGAATCAAGTATTTCTGAAGCAAAATCAAAGTCCTGTATTGCCAACGCATAGAGGAATTTAGTTGTAAAGAAGTGATGTATGTATTTTCATTCAAATTGTTCAATTACTTAAATTTCCTTATGCTCTTTTGTAAAATAGCATTTTCTGACATCATAATTACATCACAATTTATATCATGATTAATGAAGTATCCACATCTCTAAAACAATCTTATCCCTAAGGTTCTTACCAGTTTTGAAATGGTATTTCAGTCCCATAAATAGTGTTTT